ACCTCAAATTTATTTGCACTATTATTCTTTTTAGGAATCACTGTCTCATCACTATCTAGATTTCTGAGACAGGAAACTTCCATGACCAAGGCAACCTACGTTCTAGGTTTGGGAAGAACTGGGAACTGTGATGCACTAGAATATTATATCATTTGTATAAAGACCTCTAAATCTTTTATGAAACATTGATTATTTTTTTAAATTTGGCATTATTATTATTATTTTAATGGAAATCCATTTATTTAGTGGTTTTATTTTCTTCAGGGCAGCATATCAACGACTTGACACCACAAAACACTCATCTATCAACATAGCTACACGATTTCAATAGGTTAGTTAGAAATTACTTATAACCATTTCAGAGGTTTGATTTCAATTATATCCTTTGAGATTCTCAGCTATCATTGTACACTTTGATAAATGAAACTAGCAGCTGGAATCCAGACCTTCCATCTCTGTTTATACACTATAAAAACACAAGAACAACAAAATTTGAAAAAGATGGAAAGGGAAAAGGAAAATTATATAAATGAGATTGAAGAGAATAACAAAACAAAATCAAACATGTCAGATAAAAGAAGAGTAGAAGGCCAAGGTTATGTCTCCAGAGAGAGAACCACCATTTTCCCTGTCAGCAACATTTTACCCACATTGGGAGAGGGAAGGAGAGCCTGAGACCAGGTTTTGCCCATACAATTTGCAAAAATTGAGAAGAACTCACTGAAGCAAAGGATTTAGCACTCAAGCAATGCTAATGAAACTCAAGGGATGAGCTTCTATTATTTTTGTTTACAGTAAAAAGTTGATCAGAAACACTATTAGGGGTTGGAAAGCCTACCCTATGCTACTTTTAGTTATCCTGAGCTTGTCCTTCACACTCACTGGAGGTAAATGACCATGCTTTGCACCTAGTGTGCTGATATGTCCTTATCAGCTCTTCCCAGAGGAAAAGCCTGTTAGCAAGGGCTGACGATGTGAATGCTCTGTTTTACTATATAGTGCTTCCATAATGAACATATTCCTCTCAAAAGTCAATTTTCCTCAGCCTCTGTGACTTTCTTCTCCCTGGGAGGTGTGGATTTGTGACTAAACACAGGAGGAGCTATCATGGTCGGTGAAACGCCGTGTTCCTGAGGTCAGGATCAGCATAATCCAGTAAAAAACAACCCAGCATCTGGGCAGGATCTCTTCTCCAGTGCTGGCATTTCATTCAATTTGATTCTTTTCTGGAAACCACGGTCTCTTGTATATTTTTAAGTCCCAGGGTAAACCAATCTAGCTTGTTCCTGAAATAACTCCAGCTCTATTATGGCAAGGCAAGAAGTCAGGGATTGTTCTTTCTCTCCTGGTTTGTTATTTAGTACTTTTTATGAGACACGCATGTGGCAAACATCAAATTAAAATACCATCAGTCTCAACACTATATTGACAGTGAAGACAATGATTTCCTTCACACTGATTTGAAGATGGCTTACGTCTGTAGTGATATATGTCTGTCACCTCACTACATGCAAAACTGCATTCACTGCCTTTTAAAATGTAAAGGAAACAGAATAAAACACTTGTAATCAAGTTAAGTTTCCTCCAAAATTGAAAAAATTATATTGGAACAGATATAGCTATGTGTTTTCAGATGTAGATGTATACAATTAAGCACTGAGAGGATAATAAAAAAGTTGTGATTGAATCCAACAACAAAGATTTGAAAAACACTTAAGGTCATTCCTAACATATGTCTTTGAAATGGTATCTATATGTGAGTTACTCTGTGCAAATTTGCTCCTTCATTGAAAAGCCCTAGTTTTGTCTCCCATCCTTGTATCAAAGGCTTGAAATTTGGCAGAAAGACTGCACTAACACCAGGTATGAATGGTATGCCCAAGAACAGCTGCCCAAATCAGGCTAAGGTTCTAAAGGAAGAAAAAAAAGACAAATGCAAATATTTGTTAGTGTTTGGCAGCAAAAATGTCCCAAAAAGTATTTCACAGAGTGTGCAATATTGTGGATTGATGGGGCTTGATCAGGACTTTACATGCAATTGTTCTTATTACCTCTTGCTGGAGCCCACTGTGGGGACAGACAGAAGGAATGATGAGACACAATTACTCCTTCTTGTTTTCTCTCTGGACACTTATTTTAACCCCTAACATGCCATTCAGATTTGTTCAAAAAAAATTTAAAAAAGCCAAATAATCTGAGTTCTGTTCCATCCTACCAAAGCCTCACCTTTCCATCAAGTCAAAGAACCTCCTATTTCATTATATTTTGGTGAGAACATGGTTTCAAGTACCCTGACCCCAAATTACAATGGAAATTACCCCTACCACTCATTCTTCTAACAGATATTTTATTTGGCTAATGACTCACAGTAAAACCCTCCCTATTTACAAAATGCATTCCTGAGGTAGAATATCATTTTGCACTCATTGAAACACAAAGCATGTCCCCTAGGGAGGTTTTGTCCATGGCAGAAAAGGTTGAAAAATACTGTTATATTTATGAATCTTTCAAAATTTGACTTAAGAATGGAAAGACCTGGAAGATAACTTACACAAATTATACTGGGTTTAATTTAAATACCATTTGTCTAATGGGAAGGTGGTGTTGTCCAATTTCTTTTTTTGGTTTGCTACTAAATGAAAGTTTGCACTGTGCAAACAGTAAAGATACATATTTGCTTTACTTCTTGAAATAGCAGGGGAATTTTTTATTTCTTGAAGACAGTAGCCAAGCTGAGAAATAGCATTTCCTAAGAACTGAGCTGGTGCATGCTGAACACCAGAATTCAGCTCTGTTTCAGTTCAAGGAAGCCTTCAACTGAAATCAGAACAAGTGTGTTGTCAAAAGTTTTTTCAGACTTTCTTAGCGACAACAAGTACCCGGAAAGATTATTGATTTTATTTCAGTTTTTTATTAAAAATATACTGTAATTTTTCATGATTCTGTGGCATTTTCAACTCATCCAGAACAGATGGAATGTTATTGATAAGAGGATGAAGGGAATGTATGGCAAAATACTTCAAAGAAACTGGTCCCCAGTTTTTTTCCCAGTAAAGATGAGTCAGTTACTTTATACTGAAGGCAGAGCAAAATATGCACAGATAGAGAGCAGCTGACATGCACCTAATTCCCATACTGTCATATACGCCAGGGTAATGCACCCATGTTCCCATGGACACATGCTACCTCTTGAGCTGTGTGGATTGATGCAGTTCAGAGAAAGCCCTTGAAAGATCAGTAACTGACCAGAGATGAAGTTATGTCTCTTCCTCTATTTCACTGTTGCAGCATGCAGGAACCTGTTTTTCCCTGCCCCACTCACATAAATTTCTTGAAACCAGCTCCCCTGGATGACAGACCTTAGTCCAAATGGCAATGTAGAAGAATAAGCATTCCTCTCACCAGCTCACAAAAACATTTGCATAGGAAGTTAATAAATAAACCAGAATAATAGAAGTGCACTGCATTAAATATGAATTTTTTATTTCTTGTATTTCCTAAGACTGGCAAACACAGCTGACCACTATTTATTAGCTGATGAGAGATTATTCACTGAAGCTGCAGATTGTTTTCAGAGTGAAATTGGTTGTCGTAATTATTTATTTAGCCAAATAGTAGCTATTAATATTTATCTGTGACAGAAAAGAAGCGCAAACTTACTTTTGAATAAATTAGAGAAGCACTATTCTAGAGTAGTTACATAATGCAAAAATCACCTGCTTAACCTTTAGTTACAGTTCCCAAATCTCCTCCCCAGAGTAAGCAGGCTGTATAGAGAAAGAAACATAGGCAGACCCGTAGAACAGTGTAATTTCCATTATATATAAGCAATAAAATCAAAAATACCAATTTAAATTGAATAAAATAATGCAGCCCATACATGCTCATGGTCATTTTATAAAATAAATTGCCATTTCTTACATCCCCTTTGCACACAGTGCACTTCAGCAGATGTGACACAGCAAAGGGATAGGATCAAACAGCCAAGGGGATTTGCTGCCTTCAGATCCCCAGTCCACAGGCACATTGAGGTTCAATAGGCAAATAACCAAAATGTGTGCCTGAAGTAGAATTCATCTCAATGACTTCTTGAAAACAGAGCAATCTTAAGGTGTGTTCATGCTTCTAGGAATGTTGCTGAAACTGACATTGTTATCAAAAATTTAGTAGAGCAGAATGCTAACTCTTTTATGTTTAAACAAAAATATTTGCTGATTATTTTTTCCACACTTGATAAATTTTTCACCATCTTTTCCAATACTTGAACTGAGGGGCATCAGCTGAGAGGAGAAAGGAGTAGGCTGAAGTTAAATAAATGAAAATGTTTCTTTGCACAAAAGTCCCTTCTACAATATGCTAAAGCACACGTGAGCTTGGTCACACTGGGTCAAACCAAGGGACTTCATGGTGCAGTACCCTATCTCCAGCAGGGTCTCCAGCCTGAAAAAAGAGTCAGACCATAATCTATCTGGTTTTACCTTCTTAGGCAGCCCTTCTCTGCTGACCTGAGTGTCCTTTTTATGTGGATGGACACCTTCATTGAAATAGATCTCCAAATGAGATTTTAGTATAACCTCCTGTATACCCAAGTTATCACAAATCATTCAAATATCTTTATTAAATCTGGAAACTTCAATTAAGTTATTTCCTTCTTCAAGAAATTACAGGTAAAATGCATGCAGAAAGTGGGAAAGAGCTTGGAGCCACTGATAGAAAAGACCTCTACAAAGGGAAAAAAACTGATCACAAAAAAAAGGATCAGTTCACAATAGAAGTTATGTTATACGTTTACCTGCAAAAGAGATGAAAAATCACATCAAGATCCCTGCCAAAGTGCTGGAGAGATGGTCAGAAGGTGAAAGGGACAGGAGATAAGATGACCTGTCAGCCTTGTGTGATGAAAAGACAGAGATGCATCGATCAGGTAGTCAAGCCAACAGGATTTGCTGCACATTCTCAGAGGGTTCATGAATCCTGCCTGGCAGCCAGACTTTGGTACTCTGGAGAAACATAAAATAGAAAAACAACACCAAAAATTCAACAAAGAGGGAACATGTCAACACAACAAAGGCTTCTTGGTGAACAGCCCTTCCTTGACCTGCCCAAGAAGACCTGAAACTGCTACTTTGCTTCTCAGCACTTCTAAAGTTTGCCCTGTGAAACAGTTATTGCTTGACCACCTGCAACAAATGTTTGCAAGCATTATGACCACAGGCACATTAGATTTCAGAAACCAAGGACAAACCCTCTCTCACCCTGGCTTACATACCCAAGGCTTGTTATCATTGTACAGCAACAGCCAACACAACAGATTTTTTAATAATATTTGTCTGAATTAAACTCTGCACAACATATGTTGAATCCTTCAGTCCTGAGAGAGAGTGGGAGAGGAATATTCTCAGTGGTATGGTTTAGCCACTGTTGAACTGACAAAATATCATCTCTTGTTTAGTTTTTGGGACTGGATTGAAACCTTGGTTATGTTAAATCAATGAAAACACTGCTGTTGGCTTGAGAGTGCTTAGCATTTATGAATATGCTATTCAAACCTGGGATAAGGGAAAAAAGCTGTAAAATTCAGACAGCACGGAGTTCTGCAGTATAACTGGACCTGACCCTCCTAGAAAAATACAAGTTTGTGTTCTCCAGCCTCACAGGGTCCACGAGACCAGGGTTTGCCAAGGTGCTTAGGCCTTGACCCATATGGCAGCCCAGAGTTGGAACTCAACCCTCCTCCCAGCCTCTGTCTCTCTCTTGCTCTCCTCTACTCTCTCTCACTCAACCTGTACCACTGCTGCCATCCCAAAGGTATGGCATTCAATCACGGGAAAGGGCATAAGATTTTGCCCCCCCATCCTTCTGGTAAATCAGTATATTTTCCTCTATCATCCCTCCAGAAATGATTGTTCAGGAATCATGTCAAAATGTTGACATTTCCAGTTCTTCCATCAACTTTCTAGAGAAACAGAAAAAAAAAAAAGTTTGAGTCCAATTACCAGCATGTAAAATATCAGACAAAATTGTGGGTTAAAATTTAACAAATTTATTTGTGCCTATGAACAGGACCTTCTAAGAGAGAGTACTAAGGAGGCTCACACAGCACTGAAGTGTGTCCAGGTTTGAGCTGCACTGGAAAGTTATTTTGTGTTGCCAGTACTATGCAGTGGCTTCTAAAGCAAAGAAAGACCATAATTTCTGCACATGAAACTGCTCTATCAGGATAAACTCATTTGGCAGGGCGTAATGTCTGACCTTACCAGAAATTTGGTGACACAACTGGAGCCAGGTTCAAGGACTCTTTCACGATACAAGGGGAAGATCAAATGCATCAGGGACCATGGCTTGGATCGAGCTTTTATTGACCACACATTGAAACCTCCTGCTGAGATTTGCAGATGCTACTGAGTTGATTAATTGTTGGTTGATAAGAGTATGACACCCTTCAGTCCTGCAGCCTCTTTCTGCACTCCTGACTTATGTGCTTGGTGATATTTTGAACTAATTTGGGAGACAACTGAAATCTGACAAAGATCTGAGCAGTTTTCACACCTGCTAAGTGTGGTCATGAAGGCTTTTCTCCATTTCTCTTTTGTTTTCACATACCCAAGCAGAGAAAGAGTACTGTCTTTGCTTCTCTGGTTCACCTGAATGTGTTTTAAATGTATAGAAGACATTCAAATAAAACAAAGTCTACATAAGAGACTGTAGAATACATCTCCTGTGTAATGGATGTATCCAAACTGCTCAAAATATATTCTGCATCAAAACTTTTCATCATTTTTGGAAAGTTTAAAAAGGTATCTGTGCAACAGAAAAATAACGATGACGCTCCATTTTATTACACAGTAGAAAATAACAAACTTCTAGACACATAAGTCAATAGCAAAGAGGATTTTTTTTTAAAGAACCTTTTCACTTTAAAAATTCAGGATACTAATGTTCTGTAGAGCATCAACATAATACCACTTTGTGGTCTCAGATTAAGCAAAACAGTATCTTCTGGTCACAATTATTTATAAATATCTATTTTGGCACCTGCTTCTGCAGCTACCCAGCCTACCTAGGCAGCTTCACCCATTCTGATGGTGGAAAGGGCTTGTTTGCACATGGAAATGTCTCTTACTTCAGACCTGAGTCAGAGGTTGAACTCTGAGCCAGTTGGAACACCCTGATTCCTTGCAGTCCAGAAAGAAGTGAGCATGTAAAGGACTCAGAGACATGCCATGATCCTCTCTTGATCATGACTTGCTCAGATCAGTCAGGTGTGAAACCTATTCAGTGCACAAATGACTCCTCCAATGCAACCAGTCGTGTCCTCTGAGGTCTCAGAAGCCCAGCTTTACCTGCAGCACGTTGCTCTCCCGAGCTGGCCTCCTCCTTTTCCCTGGCTCTAGGATGCCATAACTTACCTTCTCAGAAGAGGGGAGCAAGGATGGAGTGGGAGAGAAATGGTGGGGTGCCATAACAAAGCCTGTGCTAGAAGGACAGCTCTGGCTAGCATCACATCCTAAGGGAAAAGCCTGGGACGCGAGGGGAAGGGAAGCTCTGTCTGCTGCTGCCATCGCCTGCCAGAGCCAGTGCTGTGGTGGGGGAGAGGCAGCAGACATTGCCTGAAAGCATTCTAATTTGCTGTCAGAGAGCAACAGACTGGCTGCTGCTGGGGATAGAACATTATCCACTGCTTGGAAAGAATTAATGTGCAGTGAGATGCGAGCTTTGGATGCAAACCTGCGGTGCCTGACTTTGCGCCAAGGCAGAGCCTGGGCTCCATCGATTATAAGCACGTCTGTGTGGACAGAAGGATGGTAGGTGAGCCACTGGCTGCAGTTGGTTCGGCAGTCCCTATAGCCTTGTGTTTTCCTAGCTAATATTTAGCTGAGAGGCCTCCAAGGAAAACCCATGGGATGCTGGTGCTGGTGATTCAATAAGTGTCATTATTCCCTCTGACTCAGTGCACAACCATTTCCCATAAATGGGGTTAACAAGTACTTGATGACTGGAGAGATCTGTCTTTTGGGCCAGACATAAAAAGCAGAAGTCCTGAACAGTAGTGTGAAAAACATTTGTAACTACAGCAAAGTCAAGGGATTTTCCTAGCTCAGTATAAACAAGTGGGTTCACTTCTGCGCATTTTGTTAAAGCAGTATCAGGCCTATTTTCCATTGAGAGCAAGCCAGCTTCAGAGCAAAACTAGTCCTGGTTTGGGGTGAAAATGACTTTTTTATTATGTATGAACAAGGTGATATTTTTGTCTGGGTTTTGTCCTGCTGCGAGGGATGTGAGGTCAGGCAGTGAAGAGGAGCCATTTCACTGGGCACACAAAAGAAGTAATGGTGAGTGGAAGGACAGCCACAGCGAGGTTCTATCCAGAAGAGTGCCTTAGCCTGGGCTTTACCAGGCAGATAATTGAAATGATGCCACAATAAATGCCACTGTTGCCTCCAGCTGCCACCACACTCAGCAGTGGCCCTGAGCCAGCCTGACAAGGTCCCCAGCAGCCAGGGACATGTGCAGTCACATTCAGCTGCCCTGGGAGAGCTGTGCTTCACTAGCCACAAGCAGAGCTAACGTGCAGCCCCAAAGTTTCACTATTCATAGGGATGAAGATTCTTCCTGATGGAAAAAAAAGTTATAAGACAAGGTTTAGTGAAGAAAAAGTAATTTGGGTTGTATACTTAAGTCAGATAGTTATAGTGAGGATCTGTTATGATCTGCCCCTGAAGGGGAGGGTAGCCCAGGTTCTTGTTAGTGAGTCCCATGGGGTGGATTAGAGTAAAACAATGCTGAATAATTGGTATTTGCAAACATATACAGATAGAGTTTATTTTAGGACATTACTTACCTCACTCTGCACCACAGCATTGGTTATACTTCCAGTAATCTGCCAGCAGGCTATGCAAAAGCATGACTGTTGCCCACTCTCCACCAGAATTCACATGGCATAGAAACAACAGCCCTGGAGAGATGTAAACTCTCCAGTCATGAAGTTTCAGCCAAAATCAGTGCAGGAGCCCCGTGCTTCCAGAAATCCAGTATTTTGTTTTCTCCTTATAGCCTGAAAACCACCATTCTCTTTGTCTAATCTGATATTATACAGCAGCTTAAAAACTTTCATTGTATTTTTTCAAAACTCTTCTCTCTTCTTGTGAAGTGAGCCTTGGACAGCCACACTGGAAAGTTTGAAAGGAACTGCTCTGCTCAGAAAGGCTAAATTATTTGGTTACAGGCAGTCATAAGAAGTCATTGTTTACAACAATTTTTGATTCCTTTTGGGCTTTATTTAATTGTTATTTGATTTCACCCCTGAGTGAGCTCAAAGGCATTTTAAAGAGACTGGGAAGAAAATCTCACTTGCAAGAAGCCAATGTTTCTCCTACAGGGAATATTTAGGCTAGGTTGCAATTCAAGGTCAACACACCTATATTTAAAACATCTTCTTGTGAAGTGACTGAAATCCCGTTAGAGATGAAGCTTGGAGGGTGAATCAGCTTACCGTAAACATCCTACACCTGTGCATCTGAGTCACTCTGTAGCCTACACAGACACTTAGGACAGTGTAGAGCAGAGAGTTTTGGTGCTTTGGGGTTTTTCCCTTTGCCCGTTTACTGCTTTTGCTGTGCCTGAAAATGATAGCTTGCACTGCACACTGAGCATGGCTAGTGGGACTGCACAAAGCCAGGAGGAAGCACCTGCCCCCTGCACCTGCCACAGGCAGGGATGTTGGACAGGGGTATCTGCATCCTTTGGCACTGGGCAAATGCTGTACAAGCCCTTTGTCTCAGCTTGGCTTCAAACTCATTTCTCCCCACCACCTCAAAGTGCAGCCCACGGCAGCTCCAGGGACAGGGATGCAGTCAACGTTTCTTCAGATAAACTGTGTTTATAAATATACTTTTATACATCCAAACACAGTTCATTAGAATTCAGGCTCATCAGACCTAGAATTAAAGCTTAGTTTTATAAGGATGTTTGGTTGTTATACATCTAACTAAGCAGTAAT